CATTCACGAGTCATTAGCCGGTTTCATCACAATTATGTTATTAGTACGCAGTTCACGCATCGCTTGAAGGTGTCGACCTGTAAGTGCGAATTTTTCAGTCACTGGCACAGTCTTAACTTCGTGGGCAATGTCGGTCAATTTGTTTCTAAACCGATCAACACTCTCAGGACTGGATGGTTGAAGGCCCTTAAATTGATCAAAAATTTTCTCAAACTGAGCTTCTATAAACAACCCGTTCAGTCTTCTAGGAGGAATTTTGTAATCAAGCCCATATGACAAAGCTTCTAACTTCAAAGCGTCTAGTTGTACGTCTGATAAATTCACGTACTTACTAGGATCACGAACGATTGGCTCCTCATCCTGGCTGTTCGTAAGCGAGTTCTCCAACCGAGTATTCCGATTTCGCCTTGTGCGGTCGAGAGTGGATTTGCGAGTAACGTGTCCCTACCCGCTCCTAGTGGTATACGCTATGAAACCAGATGTCTAAAGTGATGAGCCGGATATGCAATCAAAGCACGTCATTTTTTTCAAACAATCAAGAATATGTACACGGATGTGTCGAATCGCATTACCACATCCCGCAACACTGATCTCACTGGTCGTGCGCTTGTGTTCCGGTCATTCATTGCTCTCACATCAGTTGTGATCCAGCGTTTTGGACTTGAGGGGTGGGGGCGCATAATAGCATGTGGCACCTCCCATGTCCATGGACTCGATGTTCATTCACAAGTATCACCTAGTCAACGGTCACCGGGTTCACTTCACGACTTACCCACCAAACACTAGCACCCGGCCAATGAGAACACACTTGAGGTCAGAGGATTGGTTCATAGAGGCTGGCGAATCGCACAGGGTTTTGCAAAATTTCGCACTTTCTTTGCAAAAATTATGGGTTTTTTATTCAACTTTGCGGGAAATGGCATAGATCCACGGATAGATGTTCGTGGATACATTGAGCCACCGATAATCTGGGGGATGGAATAAATGGTTGGGGTACATTTCCTGGCTGGACGACAGGGCCGACTGACGGTGAAGGTGCTTGTGATTGGGCCACAACAAATGTGCGCCATGGTGAGAGTCTGTCAAACCCCGGAACTCACTGACGTCGAAAGCATGTTGCACTCGGTCTATCAATCTGCAATCTGTACAGCTCGTGTCCAAGCCATTGCAGCTGACGGAGCGGGTCGAGCTCCTCAAACGAGTGGCTATCTCCACCCAAGACACGCTGTCTAACTACCACATTGGTTACGTGGTGCAGCAACCACACACGGGCAATAGACCGCAGGCAACGGTGCTCAGAGACGGCGCAGGTCAACGGTACGAACAGGCCAAATCTCGCAACTGTACAGCGGTACGGCGCAGACAGGCGCACAAGCAATCAGCCCTTTGATGGATGGACGGCGCTACAAGTGCCTCAGCTTAGAGAAGGCGAGGCGAACTCTTGAGATTCGCATCGAAATCTTGTCTTCAACAGCTCTGCCGGCTGTTATGCAACTTATCAGGTAGTCAAAACTGTCTGTAACCTCCAGTGTCTCACCATAGAGAGTGAGTGCAGGCACAGGCATCTGAAAGTCTTGGAAATGAGCTTTGCACTTAGATGGAGAAAAGTCATCCCATATTTTGGCGCTTCAATCGCTAAGTGGTTGAGTGCAAGTTGGACAGCCTGTGGACTGGCACCCAGCAAGACGATATCATCAGCGTAGTACAAGGCAACATCTCGGCTCCCTGGGAGAAGCTCAACACCAGCGCTCAATGAATCTTCCAGAGCATTATTGAGGACATCCTCAATGGCCAAATTGAAAAGGAATGAGGTCATAGGGCATCCTTGTCGAACTCCACTGGTAACAACAAAGGAGGACGAAAGCTTGTCATAAACCCTAACTCTACCCGAGGTCAGACTGTACACAGCACGCAGTACGGAAACGAGCTTCCCGGGGACGCCATTCCTCAACAAACAATGCCACAATGCACATCTGTCGACAGAATTGAATGCAGCGCGGATATGCAGGAACACAACAATCGTCGGTTTTTGGTTCACATGGCGGAGCTCGAGTATCTGTCGGAGTGTGCAGATTTGGTCGGTGCAGCCGCGGTCAGGGCGGAACCTAGCCTGTTCTTCCCGTTGTAGCGATTCGCGCATTGGAGATAGCCTTCGAAGTACGATGGACACCAGAACCTTACAAACGACGAGAATCAATCTGGTACCCCTGTGCTACGCAGCCCCTTTTTGAAGATGGGGATAGCAATCGACTCACCACAAGATGATGTATCCTCCGCTTATAACCACACTTCTGCGAACAAAGCGGTGAGTTCTCGAACCAGCGAATAGCCGCCATCTTTAATTAGGGCGGGAGGTATGCCATCAAGGCGCGGTGTTTTATAGCACTGCAAGATGCCGAGTTCCTGCCAATGAGAGAGAGGATCTATGGGGACAGACCACTCAGCACCACTGAACGCTCCAGAGGAAGCAGATGGACTTGGTGCCCAGCAAAACTGCGAGCCAAAGTGTTCAGCCGCCAACCGTTGTTGATGCTTATTGATTAGGGGCTATTCTCTTCGCAGATCGTTTCACTTACACCATATCGGAAAACTTCGGTGGCTCGGATAAGATGGAAAAGTTTTCTGGTATTACCAGAAGGGCTAACGAGTTCCATCTCTCTAGCTCGTTCGCATCCCCAAGTTTCACAGTCCTTTTGTAGACTGCTCAATTCTCGATCTAGGGATCGTCTTTCTTCACTACAGCTAGAATCGGCCGGGACCGAGCGGCGTCTGTCCATCAGCGTCAAGAAGACAGCAGTGATCCAGCTTTTCGGCGGATGCTGGGTGACTTCGCAACTGTCAATACTGACAGAAACCAAAGCATTTTTGGTTCGCATCTACTTTGAATTCAGATCATCATAATCAGAAGCTGGGGCAGTGTTGACAGTGGGGCCTGGTATTTGGCTAACGTCGTAGGGTCTTGTAGGTTTTCTATGCTCGGTCGGTAGTGCGTACGCCTAGGCGGTCCTCCGAAACGCATGCTTAACTTAGCGCGAACCAGTACGTGATCGGAATCCAGACAAGTTGACCAGTACGCACGACAGTTTGATACGCTTCCGCGCTATCTATAGCTTATCGCGATGTGGTCAAGCTGGAACCACTCTTGCGTTTGAGAAGGCAGACGCCAGATAGCAGTCGAAAATTGGTGTTAGAAAGAAACAAGCGATGATCCGAACAAAGAGTCACTAGTCTGTCTCCATTGTCTAATCGAATTCTACCGAAGCCAAGACTAGCGCAGAGACAGTGCTCGCTTGGTGGCAGGCGGCCCACCCGGTCCCTTAAATCTTCGGCAAGAATGACAATAGCTGACTTAGCGGAACGCAGAATGTCATGTAGTTGTTGGTAAAAGCAATCCTTGACTGCATCCGGACTGCAGTTTGTAGGAGCGTTGGCTCAGACAACAAATAAAGCGCGTGTAACATCCCGACGCTTAATTAACTTATATGAACCTCTTAGTCTAACTATACATAGCCAACTGTTGACTGGGATCCAGTCAAGCAGAATAGTCTCAGCCTTGTCACTCAGTGCAACATCTGCCTAGCCAGAAGCGACAACCTCTGGGTCACCGAAAAGACGCAAATGGTATTTGACGTCAGGGTTTGCAGCAGAGGCCATTTTGATGACCGTATTGGAGTCTTGCAGTCTACTTTCTGAGAGGCAACAGACGTCTACCGTGAGCGTTTCAGGGTTGCGGGTCAGGCATGCTTACCGTCCGGTCTGCATCACAGTGCGAACATTGAATGGAGAACCAGGTCGAAGATAAGTTATGGCTTCGGTTTGGTGTGAAAAGGCGGTGTTCGCTGGGCATCAAACACCAAGAGTTTGACTCTGACTTCCGTCAGGTGAGCTGCTGCTGGCGGTTACCGAGGCGGACATAAGTGTAGTTGAATAATGGGACGTGGGACGATATGTGCGTGGAGATTCGGCAGTAGGAACAGTAGAGTGAATAGACATGGCACGTGTGAAAGCAGTAGTATTATCCGTTCATGCTTCACTGATGGGCGTGATACTATCCGGTTGCCCAGGTCGAAGTAGATGGTTGCCTTTAGGGGCCCTACCCCGAGCCTTTGATCAAGGATCTAACCTAAAAGGCCGCAGGACGATATGAAGGCGTCGCAACCCATTGGGAGCCGGTGACCAAACAAGTGCTTCATACGTCTTTAGCTCGTGCAAAGGACCAAGAGCCCAACACACGCTGAAGTTACAATGCTACTCAGGAAGATGCAAGGGGCAATGACTATTTGATGTAAAGTCACATCCACCACGCCACAGTGTTGTTATGCGGACATATTTGGCTTTTTATAGGGAAAACGCTTGCCAAGGCGCAAACCCACCACATCCTGAACACAGCTGCCGAACCACTCGCTGAGGGGCATAATCCCGAACCACCCAGTTGGCACCACAAGGAGGTTGTTCGGTCATTTCTGCACACCCACATTGAGTGCTCCGCTAACGTGCTTTTGCATGCCCAATTGCTTCATCTGCTTCAGCGCTTTTTATCGCAAACTACATGGACCTGTCTTTTATTCCACTTTCGTGGCCCTCTTCTCGGCCCAACCTGTCATCATTTACCGTCACATAGAACTTACCCGAGCTAGTGACACTTGCTTGCTGTTGCTTTCTGCCCATTTCTTGCACCTGACCATCAGCCGTTCAACCCAGTGTTTTAAGCACGACTTGCGCGCCTCGTTGGGATTTCATTTCAGTGATCAAAGTGTCTCACTGCCCTGTCGCTATTTTTGACAGCTGCTACCGACCTTGTGGCTAGATATAGACTACGGGACCAACTTGGTCTCACCTTATTTCACCCTACACTTATCACGCTAACTTTTTCTTTCTTTTTAACTCGGCATCTTGAAAGCTGTTGCTATCTTCATGACGCGTACACTATCTATCTTCCCAACTTATTTTTCCGTGATTAATCATTTACGCAACTGTTTCTTCCGTCTTATCTACCCCAGTTCCATTCTTTGAAATCCCGTCCGTCGTCTCGTTCTCGATGGAAATCTTGGTTTCCGTTGGCTGTCCAGACCATCTTTAAGTTGCTGGACTACTTGAAATGTTGGCTCCGCGAGCAGCAACGGGCTACGCGCCCTAATACAAACCCGGAGTCCTCATCCATTGTTGATCCAAAAGGTTGTTTAATTTCAATAATTTTATGGGTTAATTTAATAGAGTCTATACTCAAGTTTAACCACCTGGGTAACTTACGATTACGCTCATACGCTCGGTTTCTATCTTGGTAGCAAATGTGTGTACCTTCCTTGAAATGCCGCTATTCAATTTCACTTTCTCTCCAGTGATTAAACGCGTTAGCGAGCTGCTCTCTGAAATCCCAAATCGGCTTCAGGCAAAGGCGAGCCTGCGATGTGGAGGCTTTGCGCGTGCCCTGTTGCACTGGGAGTTGGCGTTTCTCGAAGATACAGCTGCCCAGGAATCAGCCTTCAACACCGGCTCTGCTATGAAGCGGCAGCTGGACGGGACTGCACACAAGTCCGTCTTGGAATCCGAGGGACTTGTGGCTCTTGAGGGTATGCTGAACACATATGCTTCACTTCGTGATACCGATGGTAAGTCATTTGATTTTTATTATCGCTTATGCTTTGCGTACATTTGACCGATGGTCATCGTTTACCTACCTAGCGTTGTCTTTCGTTGTGTACATCACGTGCACACTTTGCCACTTTAGCTCTAATTTTTTCCGGAACTGAAGTTGCACCGGGCGTTTGACTGAAAAACAACGAACAATCGCTCTTTTTGGATTGGACCCAACCTCTGTAAACACGGTCCCGGAATCATCGACTTAGGACATCACGCAATGCGGCATGTCCTTCACAAGTACAAGCTGCTGTTGCAAGCTTGCACCAACACGCCGGAATAGTGGATCGGTTCACTTTTCCAAGTAGTCTTCTCGCTGCTACCAGATACCTCATCTGAAGTGTCACTGCACGAATCGACAAGCTCATTGTGGCTTTCCAATGTCTCATTCATCGATAAAGATGATGGCATATCATTCTGTCAGTCAAGATCAGGGTGTGCAACGTTGCGAGTCAAGAACCTGGTTATTTTGTATTGAAGACATTGGGAAACTGGTCATCTTTGATCACTGGTGCTTGTTTGATATTGTTCTTTCTGGTGGAAGTACCTTGCAACCAATACTGATGCTTACCAGTGTGTGTTTGAATAGGGACCCTGGGATGGCGTACTGGGTTGTCCTCTGTGATTGGAGCACGCATACTAGTAGGAAGTACGAGGCAGCCGGTCAGATACGAACCGAACGGCTTCGGTTATTGGCTGCACCAAGCTTCACTGATTGGGTAACCTTTGCCGACTAGAGTCATGATAGAACACTATTTCTGGAACTGTCGCTAGTAACAGTATTTGTTGGACAATCTGCATGAAAACACTGTGTGAATGAGCTATGCGGTATTCTTCTGCTACTTGACTTTACCACAACAAACCGTTTGTCCCTGAAGGATCGGGTTTTACGACATGGTTTCAGAGAAGACAAGTAAAAACTCCGCAAACTGCTTTCAGATGCTGATTGGAACACCGCCGACTGTTCAGCTGCCTGCCCCGACGGATATGGCTGAAAGGAACTAGACAAGTTTTTATCGTCTCTGGAAGAGTAAATGGATAAATTTCTGCACATTTGGTGCATTTATATTGTCAGCCTGTGGCGTATCGATTGGCCATACTTCGACACACAGCCGGGGATGACGTTCACCCTGTGCTAGCGATATTATGCTACGATAAAGATGAAGTTCCTAGTGACTTACAAGTGGTCATTGAAAAGTTATGGGAATTTTCCGAAAATCAAACACAAGACCTATCAGCGCAGGACATTTTTTGCGAAGCAGGCGCCTAAATGGATTCGTTGCATATGTCACTGGGTTGACGATTTTGGTCCGTTCCTGCAATTTCTCTAAACGAATGGCTGACAGTCTCATACGGAACCTAGTCATCCTCGGTTTCAATGATAAAAGTGCCAACAAGCGGCTTTTGCGACAACACGACTTATCTCAAACTTCGCGTCGACACCTTCAACCATGAGACGTCTACCACGTGTCATTGCCGGCAAATGAAACTCGCAACTGATGCGGAATTATGTGCTATTTCGGACAGCACAACCCCGAAGGCCACCACCGTGATACAGGTTTGCGTTTTATGTGCTGTACGCCATCCTAGAAGCTGCGAACAGTGTCCGGTGTTGGGAGGGAAGTGTGCTAATTGTAGCAAAATGAGCCGCTTTGCTCGTCGCTATCACTCGGCCAATGTAAGGGCACTCGTCCGTGACAAGTCGCCCACAGATTCAGAACATTCATTTTGTAATGTGTCTAGGAAGGGGTTGCAGTGTGTCTACGCACATCTTTTGATCAAAACGGCCGTACGATTCCAATTAAACACGGGTGCTGCGATCAACACTACCTAGAAAGCACTGTCCCGACGTGTATGTCCGATCATATAAACATCGTTTGCGCATGTGGAATGATTCCACACTTCACCTGAAAGACAAAGCTATCATCGAAGTAGCAAGTACAAAGGACAGAGCCTCACACCGACTAGAGCCTTTGGTCGTGGAACGCAAACTCATCCCGATTATCTGCATTGATTCGAATCAGTCTCTTAGTATTGGTAATTTTGACTGAACGTTACATGCGTGTCTGTTGGAGAGAAACTGATGTTAATGGCCAGTATCCATATACGTTTAGTCCAGGTTTTGGGAAGTTTGAAGGTATCGTTCATTAGTCGCTAAACCCATCGGCACAACCATTTGCGCTGCGTGATCATTGTTCCGCCGAATTGACTAAATTGACGGAGACGGGTGTGATCGCTATGGTCGGAGGTTGCAGGCTAGGTCATCCACGTTGCAATCGTTACAAAGACGACTGGCGAGCTGCTTGTGCGTATCGATCCAAAGCCGATGAACGAAGCACGGTGTGGCGAACATTATAAATAGCCTACCTTGAAAGGCGTTCTACCCCGTCTATCTGGCGCTGGATATTTTCACGAAGGTAGATCTATCGTCAATATTTCGGCACGTGGAACGAATTTCTTGACGACCCTTCTAGCCTTATCGATAGCTGCATTAGCCATTTGTTTTAAACGTTTCGTGTGAACTAGTTCAGTTGCGATTACTACGGGCGGCAGATGATCTCGATGAGGCTACGTGCGTAACAGACGATGCGGTGCAATCGAAAAGTAACATCATGTCAATCTCCACCGTTTCTTGCAACGCTGCTCAAAGTAACAAGAAGCTGAAGCGTGAGAAAGTCGAGTTTCGAAAACGGGAATAGTCAAGGCGATACAAGAGATGTTGTCATCGAAAAATCTGGAGGCGGTTAATTGTTTGAACGATTTGGTCAACTACCTTAGCCAAATGTTACAAATTCTTGCCGCTGTCCTGACGCTATTCCGCTTGTAAAGACATAAAAAGTGGTGGGGGAAAGGAGCAGAAAACCGATTTTGCGGCCCTCAAATCCTTCCTCAGCAATGTCTCACTGCCCAGTGCTATTACGATCCGACTCGACTTTTGGATGTACAGTGCGACAGCAGAGTTTGGTATATGCCTTTCTCGTGAAGGATGGAAATTTTTTAGACGTACGTTGTTGGACTCTCACAATTGCGACGCAACAATGCTCACAAATTGACGAGGAGATACTCGTGTTGATTTATTAGATGGAACGTTTTACTGACTACACTTGGAGGAAAACTACTCATATGTCAACGGAACACAACCTGCTCGTGTCTCTCGGCAGAAAACTTACATAACACTTCATACCCTCAGCAACGTACTCTTGTCGCACAACAGAGGTATGACTTATGTATCTTGTACACGCCAGGTACACAGATGTTCAAGAGCGCATCCGCCTGAAGCCGAACACTATCAGAAATATCTGAGAGCAGCGGCATCTGGCAGTGACAATGAATCGCCTGAAGGAAATGAGGCAACACCAAAAACTAAGCACAACTTGAATGAGTTTATGAAATCTTGTTCTGAAAGAGTGTAACGCCAGCCTCCAAAAGAACTGGCGCCTTATTTAAATTCCGGGATGAAATTACGATCTACGTCAACTTGATATCCAAGTGCAATCAAATTCTGATCCCAATCTCACTCCGCAGGTTGTTGGAACAAGCTCATCGTGCCCACCTAGGAGTTGAGTACGGCGTTAGCAGATCCTGAGAACTAATGCCCTGGCCAGAGATGACGATTCAACTCCGGAATAGTGTGTCGAACTGTGCAGATTACCGTTCCACATAATGCTCGCAAGAGCAAGGGATCAGTGATGCTACTTGATATGCCTACCGTAGTAGAAAATAGTGTTAGATCTGTTCTGTGGAAACGGGAAGATTACTTACCTGAGGTTGATTACTACAGCGGTTATTTCGATATTCACCACCACCACCACCACCACAAAAGTTCTGATTAACAGACTCAGGTGTCAACTTGCCCGTCATGGGTCACCGGAAGAACTACTTTTCAGCAGTGTGCCTCAATTTACCAGTGCTGCTTTCCAGGCTTTCACAACCAAGTGGGAGTTTACGCGCCAACGAACTAGCCCTTGGCACAGTCGGTCACATGATAAGATCAAGCAGCAGCAAAGCAAGCCAAGTGGTTGCTGTTGAAGGCCGGAGGCACTTAAGAGGACGCATACCTGATTCTTTTAGAGGACCGCAATACTCTTTCAGATATTGGTCTAAGCCCAGTGCAGCGCTTGTCTCGCTGGACATGAACTCTGATGCCCACGCTGGTCTCGCTTCTGCACCCCGTTTCGCTACCACATGAACAACTGCGAAGACGTTTGTTGCAACGGATGCTTAATCAAAAACGGTGCTACGACGGCGGAAGTGTGCTTTCACCCGATACCCGGTATCTCGAACAACGAAAGAGGCGTGGCGACCGCAAAGGTCTGGGCTGGGTCATTTGAAGTCAATTTACTGTGTAACAAGGCTATTCGCATCATTATTCGCTTGGAAATTTACAATCTTGTTCTGGTTCCTGGCTTCAACTGTGGTTCGGTTCAAATCGTTCGGTAGCCACACTTAGTCGTTTGAATGGTGTGTGGGTCTAGTTTATTTGATTTTCAGTTGAGCCAACAGCAAGTGTCATCTATTTGTGGTTATATCTTCAAAAATATACCATCAGTGCGCCGGCACATTGTGCCAACGCTTCAATGCCACGCGACCACCGCCATTCCCGGGAAGGCTAGGTCGACTGCTAGGTCGACTGCATCCGCGTGGTTTCTAACCGGCGACTTCAGGATTACAACGCAAGCGTGCATTATTTTCGGACACCTACCAATCGAAATCTGTCAAACTACGAAGCTGTCTTTTATTCCTTCTCATCCGCTTACTTTTATTCTCTTTCGTATTTCACAGTTGACATCGGAAATCTGACACTCTTACACCACCCTCTTGATTTTAAATAAATAAATAAATAAACGTTTTATTCCTCAGCAGTGCGAGGCAAAGACCAATTGGGTGGTCTTATTTCAACTCTGACAGACTATTTTACCTTTTCGGCACACGTGATTTTAACAGTTATCTCATTTTCCAATCTTCATTTTTA